AATAGAATTCATCAGCCAAGAGAGAACCAGATTATTTGCTCTCAACCAAGCTGTGTAATTAATTGACTGATCAGTAGGAGGAGGTGAGATGGATCCATCGATGAACTGAACCTTATTTTTTACTGTCAAGGCTATAGTGATGGATCTACTCCAGGCAACATAATTACTTCCACTGAAAATTTCAGATACCAGCATAGCACCAGGATTATCACTGGGATGAAGGTAATAAGGACTTGAGGAATCATCTGAGGGGTTATGAGAACTCATCTTTAGAGTATAGAGTGTAGAGAGGAACAACCAGCTTCAGAAAGAATATCTGAAGGAAACGATCAGTTTACCAGAAAGAAAATTGCGGAAGTCTCAAGCTCTGATACCATGATAAAGTCCAGCAAGAAGAAAGAAGAAGCTGAGAGAAAAGATGAATTGACTTTTATTGATAAACTTGATCGAATCAAATAATTACATCAGATAGCAGCCTAATTTATACAAGGAATTATCGGCTAGAAATAACAACTCAAATAACAAGATAACATAAAATGTGAACTAATTGGAAAAGCAATTGACCCGTAACAGAATGCAGGTACCTGAAACTAATTTTCCCTCTTTTCCTTTGCTTTGTCATTTTCTTCTTTTCCTTTGATTTCCATGCTATCAATTTTGGATTCAATACTCCAACATCATCCCCTTTTAATTCTATTGCAATTTTAATGGTTGCTACTTTCGTTGGCACTTTTTTTTTTTTTTTCCTGCGTAACCTCGAAGATGATAATCCTTAGTATAGCGCTCTGCAAAAGCTTTTTCCTAGTCTGACGTAAAATTTATGCAATTAAGATATATCTATGGTTCCAAGGGGAAGTGGATTGGTGAAGCCATTTTGTTCATGTAATTAGGTGAAAACTTTTGTACTAGCACAATTTTGATACTGGTTTCTTATTATTGTCATTTTGAAGTTGGCAAGATACATTCAGCAATATCATTCTGCATAGAATTTTCATGTTCTTGTGTCTATTTTAGCTGGCCATTCTTATTTATGGTTTGCTTGCCAAGTGGCACGGTCTTTTAAGACAAGGATGAAACAGCACAACTCGTGTCTAGTGCGCCGTATAGCACACTAGACACAAACGAACAATATTAAAGAAGATGAAGGGCGAAAAAGAGAAGGTGAATTTTTATTAATTATGTTGCACATTCCAACTCAGTACTATGTACTGCATTTCATAGGGCTGTGATGAAGAGAATCATCAGACACGCAATAAAGAAAAACTAACATAAAACAGAAGATAGAAATATCAGACTACTCATTTTTGCATGGAAGAAATTTTAGTTCTTCCTATTTAACTCGAGAATGGAAGAATCAGTTTTCATTATAAAATTGAGAAGGAAAACAGCAAAAAACAGTCCTATTTTGAATTTGACATTTTCTTTATATTCAGATATTGCTCAACTACACATGAAAGGAACTGCTGAGATGTTCAATGTTACAGAGTGTACAAGAAATATCCGCCATGTGCCTCATATAGGCGCAGGTGCTTCCTCTTCCTTTTCCGTGCCTCTGTCGTCATCATTTTTCTGCTTTAATCATATATTTCTTAACAATATCAACATACCGCATCAAACTGATACCGACGATGAGATTGCCGATGTTGATGCAAGTGACGACGAAGCTGAAAACAATGGCCAAAATGCTGTAGAAGCCCTGAGAGCACAGGTCAACGCAGAAGGAGAAGACCACACATCAAGCTCTCGTAGCAGTGGTAGCGAAAGTAGAGGCATTGGCAGTGGAAGCGGGAGTGAAAGTGGAAGTGGAAGCAGAAGTAGCAGTAGTGACAGTGAAAGCAGTGATGGTAATTCTGTCAACTCTATCTGAAAAACGTAAATTGTTCTGGCCACCTCCAAGCGGACGCCTCGCCATTGTGAATTCACTATATGGATTTTCCCCTGTTAATTCTATTGCAATTTTAATGGTTGGTACTTTCGCTGGCACAATTTTTCTTTTTCCCTGTTTAACCTCGAAGATGATAATCCTTAGTAGAGTGCTCTGCAAAAAGCTTTTTCCTAGTCTGACGTAAAATTTATGCAATTAAGATATATCTATGGTTCCAAGGGGAAGTGGATTGGTGAAGCCATTTTGTTCATTGTAATTAGGTGAAGACATCTGTACGAGCACACTTTTGATACTGGTTTCTTATTATTATTGTCATTTGGAAGTTGGCAAGATATATTCAACAATAGCATTCTGCATAGAATTTTCATTTTCTTGTGTCTATTTTAGCTGGCCATTCTTGTTTGTGGTTTGCTTGCAAAGTGCATGGTCCTTTAACACAAGGATGAAACAGTACAATTTGAGTCCAGTGCGCTGTATAGCACACTAGACACAAACGAACAATATTAAAGAAGATAAAGGGGGAAAACAGGTGAAATTTTTTTAATTATGTTGCACATTCCAACTCAGTACTATGTACAGCATTTCATAGGGCTGTGATCAAGAGAATCATCAGACACGAAATAAAGAAAAACTAACATAAAACATAAGATAGAAATATCAGACTATTCATTTTTGCAGGGAAGAAATTTTAGTTCTTCCCATTTAACTCGAGAATAGAAGAATCAGTTTTCATTATAAAATTGAGAAGGAAAACAGCAAAAAAAAGTCCTATTTTGAATTTGACATTTTCTTTATATTCAGATATTGCTCAACTACACATGAAAGTAACTGCTGAGATGTTCGATGTTACAGCGTGTACAAGAAATATCCGCCATGTGCCTCATATAGGCACAGGTGCTTCCTCTTCCTTTTCCGTACCTCTGTCGTCATCATTTTTCTGCTNTTCCTCTTCCTTTTCCGTACCTCTGTCGTCATCATTTTTCTGCTCACTGGCATATCCATTTTGCGAAATCTTTTCCTCCGATGGCAAATTCTTCTTGGCTTTCTTGCTGCCTTCTATTTTCCAAAGATCCCATACCCGGGTTTTGGGTGGAGGCGACGCGTCTGCAATGGGTGCAATTAGTCCGGGTTTGCCATCATCAATAACAGCATCAACTAATCCATACTCTTTCGCCTCCCAAGCATTCATAAAATTATCACGATCAGTATCCACTTCAATCTGCAATGCAATAAAAAATAGCAAACAAATTAATTCATAGAAATTCAAGAATTTGCCAATAACTTCCCTAAAGTGTAGTTCAAGAGCCAAAATTGAAAAACAATACCGTCTCTTCAGGCTTCCCTGTGACTCGAGATAGTATTTTGTTGAGCTTAACTTTGTGGTATGCCATTTCTCTGATGCGTATGCTCATCTCTGTCGCCTAGAAACAAATTACATCATTTGAGAATTAGTCTGTAGTAAGTACTTTCATTTATATAAAACAATATCCCCCCTGAATAATTCATATAGGGAGCTGGTATGCAACTTAACAACCATTTCACCTGTGATAGAGCTTCATTTCGTAAGTGTTAGTCAATATTTACTTGAAAATGAGAAAACTGCCTTTTGGCCACAAACACAAAAAGACCAATTGTAATAATGCTCACAGGCAAAATTTCAAGGATAATGACAACATCTATGAAGGAAAAATTTCATAGTAGCAATTGATTGGGTAAACAGTGGTGGTTATCATGTAAAAAATATGAAAAGAAAATACTCTTTATAGCATGTTTGGTAAATATCATTGGATAGCATTGGACTATACTATAAAGAAATTAAATTCTTGTTCATGATACTAACAATCAAATCTAGTATGCACTTGGTGGTTAAGGGAGTATACTCCAGATTATTTTATATAATAAGTTGTTTGCATTGCAAGTTCATGTCTTTGGCCCTCAAGGTAGTTTAGAAATTTCCATGCTTGCTAGAAGTATGGTGTATTTTAGTTTCAGTTTTAATGCTAGGACCAATTTGACATTCTTCAAACCAAACGGGTTTTAGTGATCGATATAATTGTGGCTTGATTATCCTCAGCACATTTAAAATAAGTTTTTGGTTAGTCTGGTCTCACTAAAACAGGTTCTAGTTTAAGTCAATGCAATGTAAAAGCTCTTTTTTCTTGGTTAGACCTATGCAAATAGACAATTATCTAGTTTCTGAATGGATTTATTAAATGTTCTTGACTATGGGTGGTACCATAGCTATACCTGAGACCCACTGTTTAATGAAAAAATGGGAGAAACTTAGAACATTCAGAACATCAACTGATATGCTTGTATATGGGTATAAATGGAAAGAACAGAGATGGGGGGAAGGATATTGCCATGTTTGATATCATCAAAGTGCTCAATGATTCAAGTCTACCATTACATCATGTAGAAAAGGTAGGCCTACATTCCCGAAATACTATAAGCACAGAATAACGAGAATAGAAACCGATAGTAGCCACCAATATAGAAAAGAAAAAAAAGCACTTACTTTGCCCCCAGCAGTTCCAAGAGGTTGATGGATCATGACCCTCGAATTAGGCATGCAAAACCTTTTCCCTTTACTACCAGAGGCAAGGAGGAATGCACCCATGGATGCAGCAAGGCCCATGCAGATGGTAGAAACATCAGCCTTGCACAATTTCATGGCATCATAAATGCCCATTCCTACAAGCAGCAATTCAAAGGATGGACTTCACTAATTGAAAATGCTTGCCTAAAAAGTTATAGGCTTGAAAGCAAAGAACAAGCAACCTCTTTCAGCAGATAAGCATTAAACACAGTACACATTCTAGATAATCAAGTCCAAACCCTCGATGAAAATAACACATATAAATGAAAAGGCTTGCCTTAGTCTTTCCAAATGCTCTAGGTGGAGATGATCGAGCTTCAAATATTTTGACACCTAATCAAATACTAAAAATCTTCACAAGGACACATGGTATAAAAAGGCGATAGTGAGGCGCGCCTTGAGGCCTGCCTCACTTTGAGGTGCATGTAGTATGCCTCAAGGCGGTATTTTTTAGGCTAAAAATACGAGGCTCACGTCTCTAAATCTGAGGCGCACGCCTCAAGGTGCACGCCTCATGGAGCATGAGGCGTGCGCTTTATTTAAAATTTGATTTTTCAATTGTATGAAAAGAAATCAGAAAGGACACTTCTTGAAAAAGAAAAAAACCCATTTAAAAAGGCATTATGGGCCCCAAACAAAACAATAAAATACCTAGAAAACTAAACAGCAGCCAGAAATTAGAGGACCAAAAATGGAAAGATTCAACAGAAATTCAAAAGTCAGAATTCAAGAAGAGTATCGTCTTCTTCATCAGTTCAACATGTATGCTTTTCCACCTTTCTTTTTCTTTTTCTTCTTAGGGTTCAATAAATCTTGCATGCAATTAATTGCTTCATATACACATCTAGAAATTATTGAAAATGCTTGCCTAAAAAGTTGTAGGCTTGAAAGCAAAGAACAAGCAACTTCTTTCAGCAGATAAGCATTGAACACAGTACACATTCTAGATAATCAAGTCCAAACCGTCGATGAAAATAACATATAAATGAAAAGGCTTGCCTTAATCTTTCCAAATGCTCTAGGTGGAGATGATCAACTTTCAAATATTTTGACACCTAATCAAATACTAAAAATCTTCACAAGGACAAAACTTTAAGGAACACATATTATTCACATGGATTGCAACAAGCATAATAACTCACATACAGACAGGAAAAAAAAAAAAGGAGCATTGTAAGTAACCAGTAGGTCTCATTTGCTAGTTCCTGAGTACTGAGGAATACAAGCTAGTGAGTACATTCTTCGCTCTTCAGGAATAGGGTGTGGGTCATAGTTATATATCAATCACTAGAAGCAACAAAGTACAAATTTTAGCGTAATTGGATTAGACTATTACATTAAAGGAGATATATCACTTTGCAGTCCTTTGCAGAATTGCAGGTATCAATTGACTAATTGTTGTGTGCATGCTTCAATATTTGGAACAAATTAACAGTTCTCATTGGGTGGATACTAACACGGTCACATTATACAGTCCGCAAGAAGTAAGAACATAATATTTAAGCCTTTTACTTAAAAATGAAACACTTATGATTTGCTCTTACATCAAATGATAGTAAATATTGTTTTCACCATTCCACAGGTTGTGATAGCTATAAAGAAGTAAACAATTGAAAAACTTATTCCGCATTTTTTTTTTGGTTAACGGTTTCAATTTTATATGTAACGGAAAATAAATTTTCACAATTTAATAACTCCAATATATCCAAATATATGAGGAGAATACTAAGCAAACTGGGAATGGCCTCCAAACAGAACAGCACTAACAATTCACTTACCAGCAGTAACAGAACCACCGGGTGAATTAATAAACAATCTGATATCGTTTTTCTGGTCTTCGGAATCAAGCAATAGCAGCTGGGTTATGATGAAATCTGCTGTCACGTCATCTATCTGTCATCACCATTATTAACCAGAAAAGAAAAGGTCAAGATTTACATCCTCTTCATTTCAAAAAAAAGAAGGAAAAAAATACTGTTATAACTTTATGAAACAACTCCTCCATAATAGACTTAATCCCTTTGAATTTCAAATCCCACTAGCCAAAGCTGAATACAGGCGTAACAGCTAATAACTTGATGCCTTCATAAAAAGCAAACATGGGCATTTTTGTGTTTATCTTCTGCTTGAAAACTGTGTAAAATGGCTTAAAACTTCACAACCTACTCCAATATCCCATCTCTGTATTAAAGCATCACAATTACGCCAACTATCAAACTTTGTACCATTATAATAGCATTTTCCCCTAATAAATTGCTTGAAGGTATTTGTGTGGATAATGATAGGAAACCCAAAATAGAACCAATTAGAACGCAATCACTACACCATTAGACCAAGAAAATAAAAGTAAATCAAAATAATAATAGAAAAACCCAAATGAAATCCAAGCAAGTTGACGAAAACTCCAAATCAGAAGTCAATCTAGACTTCCAGTTCAGCTTTTTCGTTAGTCAAACTAATAGGCATGAACAAAATTACCAAATTGTAACAATGTCAACAAAATGAAATTTAATGACCAACATAGAATTAGAGTTGGTGTTTTCCACACATTACCAATATCATTTTCCACAAGTAAATTGCTTGATTATATGCATATGGATAATGATATGGAAACCCAAACTAGAACCAATTAGAACTCGAGTACCAAAATGAAAAACAATCAGCAATAACAAGGAAACAAAAAAATCATATCCAAAATCAAAATAATGATTAGTCAAATTGCGAACCTGAGTACCCAAGAAGATAATTCTCTGTCGAAGGAGCATATTAGTGGTGTCAAGCTCTTCGAATCTGGGTAGCCATGAAGGAGCTGCATAATTTGAGACATCCCAGCTACTCGATAAAGTTTGATTTCTCGAAGAAGAACTCTGATTTACTGCTTTCACTGAAAATTTGCCTTTTCTTGTTCTACAAATATTGCTCGAAATGGATGTACTTATGGGATGTAATAAGCAGGAATTGGTGTGGGATTGTTTGAAAATGGTTAGCCTATGGTGAAGGAAAGTTGAAGGTGCTGATGAGGCTGTTGTGAACGCAAGAGAAGCCCCCTCCATTTCTCCTTCTCTCGTTCAGTTTTTGCACGAATTTTGTTCAGACGAACAGATTGGGATGGGGTACCTATTCAATTGGCAATTGGAGCGTGTTTGGCTAAGCTTATAAATCTGTAGTTAAGTAGTTTTAAGGTACCTAAATAATTAATTTTTGTACAAATAATGATGGGTGGTTTTATTGTTGAAATAGTTTTTCATTGGTGTTGCACGAATCATATTTTAATTTTAATTGTAATAAAGGACTTTTAAGTGTTGCTTATATTTGTATTTATGTTATGAACTTTTATGGTCGTATTTCTATCGTTAACATTCTATGAAGCACCTGTTTGAGACCTATTTTGGTAAGAAAATGTATTTTAGAATAAATTTTTTTTAAAAAAAAATTCATGATTCAAAAAGAAGGAAAGATTTTCGAATTACTTATAAAATTATTTTATGGAAGAATATGATTGAAAATAAGTTTTGAAAAAATGAGGGCCCTTTTTGTGTTTCGATTTTGAATTTTGAGTTCTGAATTCATTTTTAATTTTTTTTTTTTTTGAGTATTTATTTTAAGATTTTTAAAAAAGCATTTGGTATGTCATTTTGAAAAATTATTTATCAAAACAAAAAACTAGAAATATATTTGATTTGAATTTTAAAAAAAGTATTTTATGACATTAAATTTGATTATTTAATAAAAATAGAATGATTTTATATTAATATATTGTCAAGTTATAAATTTTAAAGTTGGTGAATTTTACAATGTGAATAAAAAACTATGTTTCACTACATTTTAACTTTATTAAAAGTTTTCAACTTTTGCTAATTAATCGTTGTTGTTGTTGTTGTTATTATTATTGCACTCTTATCAACAACATTTCATTAATTAACACATTTTATCATCATGTCAGTTTTCTTACCAAAAATACGTTAGAGAAATAAAAAAAAGCTTATTTGTTCCACATTTATAAATAAGCAAAAATAAATAAAAGAATACAGAAGTTAGAAAAAATATTTGTTTCGCATTCCAAAGAACGTTGAATGACACTTGGATAGAAACCGTAAACAAGTACAAAAGGTTGTAATTAATGGAAGTTCAATTAAAAAAGTGCAACGAAAAAAGTTGGAACATAAGTGCAACAATGATCAATTCAAGGACTGCATAGACCATCGAACGTTTTACTACATGAGACTACTGAATTTATTGCGGAGTTCCAAAAGATTCAACTTTGGGTCATGGTACTAAAACTGCACACACTCATAGCATGTCGCACAATATTACGAAATTGAAATCGTGTGCAGGAATGTGAAGGGAGAACTAATTGTTGTTAGATTTAAATACTTTCGAGGTGAGGTATCTTCATATGTTGTGAATGTACGACCATATTAGAGATTGTCTACCGTCTAAATCTTCGTGCACCCGAATGGACTATCCTTAGCAATATCATAGACCTTATTCACTCTAGTGAAATGGTGCAATAAAATGTGTGTGTGTTTTTTTTTAAATTAAAAAGAATAATAAAGAATGACTTGTTTATGGAAATAGTACTCTTGTAACAAGGAAACTCTTTGATAAGGGCTGTGTTAAAGAGTAAATAAAAAATGAGGGTGCTACAAAAATATCGACTTATTATCGATTTGTCAAAAATTGAATCAGATGAACGGTTCAACCAGAATTGAAATCGGTCCAAATTACGCCCCTGTTTCGCAACTATTTTTTTTTTTTTGGAAGAATGAGTTTTTGAATAGTGAATTTTTGAAGAATTTGTGATTAAAAAGTATGAAATTTTTTTTGAGTTTACATGAAAAATATTTTATTGTGAGAATGTATGATTAAAAATGAGTAAAAAAAAAAAAGTTTTGAAATAATGCTCGTCATACGGGGAAAATTTCAATTATGCAGTAGAAGTTAAGGCTCTATTGGAAAAATTTATAAATCAAATTATAATGAGGAATACTACTACTAGTAATTATGAATGTATTTATTTTTAATTAAATTCATGAATTATTTATAAATTGGTTGTCAAATGGATTATAATTTTTAAAAATTCATAAATAATTAATTCCCGGCACACCCAGTCCTGGCCATATATCCTCTGTGTGAGAAAAGGGAAACTGAGCCATTGATTTTCCTCATCCCATTTCCCCTTCTTTCTCTTCAGAGTTCGTTCAAAAGCCATTTGAATACCGAACACTCCCTTCTTCAGTGCAGGTAATTGTATTTCTAATTTGTCTGTTATGCTTGTGCAGATTCTTTCTTCTTTCTTTTGTAATTTTTAACTTCAATTGGCCTTCGGAATCAATATCCTGGTAATTATCTTACTGCTCTAGCTCCATTTTCGCCTGTGGATGGTAATCAATGATGTGGGTTTCGACTTTATTGATTGAAGAATACAATTGAAAAAAAAAAAACCCTTATCTTTTCGAATTTTACCAAAAAATAGAACGATTTGATCAAATCCTATAGAATATGATATATGTGTTGTTCTACTATGTGGGGCAGTTCTTCTTTTGCCATTTAATGGCAAATTTGGTACTCATGAATATACCGGATTGAACAGTATTAAAGAATCTAAAATCTCGTCAATTAAAATTTATACTGCCCATTTCTATGTACCTAATATGTCATAATTGAATTCATTGTTGATGACTGTTCATTTTTCCTTTCATAGTATGTTTGAATCCTTCCGTCTTTCATTTGCGCGATGTGAATTCTTTTCAAACTTAACCTGATTTTTCAATGAGATTTTTAACAGAACTGCGGCTTGATTTTCAACGAAGTAGTTACCAGTCGAGCCCTATTAACTCAGTACTTTTCTGTATAATTTCTTAGATAGGCTTGAAATTGATTGGTGAATCTTAGTAAGTGTTCAAATTTGGCTTGGTTAATAATCAATGTGAACCTGAACTTAAGCAACTTGATTCATTAAGAAATCCTATCCCGAGAAGCCGAATGAACATTACTCAAAAGTATAAAAATAATCTGGCAATGAACTAATTGATTAATCTTTATTGCTTTCTGAATCATCAGCAATGGCAACAAAGCTGCTAGTTTCTCCTATCTCTCATCGATGCACATTTCCCACCCAAGACCAGCACCAAATTCATCCATGGCCCGGACGGGGACGCATGACAATGAGAAACAGAAGCCTTGTACTTCGAGCATCGTCCTCCCTCGACAACGAGATTCTATCATCCACTTCTTCAGCTGTTCTGGAGCATTTACACCAAAACCCGCAGTCTCTTTACCTATTGGCAGATACGGCAGGCTACTCATTGGCCAGTTACTACACTTCTCTTGGCCTCTTTATCATTTCCGTTCCCGGTCTTTGGTCCCTTATCAAGCGTTCAGTTAAATCTAAGGTACCATACTTTTACCTCCATTTATCACACATCATTATGCCAAAACGTAACTTAAGAAGTATGTTTGCCTAAGCTTAAAAGTTTTACTTATAAGTAAGTTTTAAAATAAACAAACTTTTGCATTGGTCAAAGTGAGGCATGAGTTATTTATTTTGACATAAGGTTAGATTTACTTACAAAATTAGTTTTTACTTTAAAGTAAGACAAAATCAAGTTATCCAAACATCATGTTTGGAAACTTGATGTTACTTAAAAGTAAATTTTACGTTTTTTAGCTTATTCAAACATGCTCGTAATAGATTGACAGTCTTACTTTATTTGTTTGATTACGTTGACAGTCTTACTTTATTTTCTTCATCTCAGATCATTTTTCTTATTCACTTTATTTACCTGGAAATAATCTAACTGGCGTCTTCATTCTTAGAACAGATTGTGCAAAAGACATTCATAGGAGAAGGGGAGGGGAAGAAGGTGCCAAACCGGGTGGCAGGAGAAATTCTTTCATTCTTTACTCGGAATAATTTCATAGTGTTGGACAGAGGAGATACGATAACGTAAGCCACTAATCCCATCCTTAAAAAGTAGGGTATGAAAACAAAATCTCTTCTTGTAATAACCTTGCATATGTAAATTTCTGAGAATTTGCACTACCCCTATAATTCTATGTTCTCATATACTTCAATGGATATTTTCCTTCTCGACTCCTGTAATTGGTAAATTACATCATAGTCAATGTTAATGTATTCAAGTTTTTCCATGTATAATAACGTCCAAAAAGACATTTGTTTTCCTGTATGCTCTTTTGTTTGAAAAGTGGTAACTAATTCTTCTATTAATACTCAACCAGTAACAATGGGGTGGCATCAACTATGTACATTTACAAATGATTTAGGGGGCCATTTTCGTTAGACATACACTGAAAGTTGTTAGATCGCCAGTGTAAAATTTATTTTACTTCATAGTGAAAACTCGTTATCATAATCTGTGTTTTTGCTTTGCATGTTTCTGATATGTTTTCATTTACTTTAGGTTTGAAGGTACGATGATTCCAAGCCGCGGCCAAGCAGCATTGCTTACTTTTTGCACGTGCATAAGCCTGGCAAGTGTCGCCCTTGTTTTGACAATTACTCTTCCCGACATAGGAAACAATTGGTTCTGGTTGACCATATTAAGTCCTCTAGCGTAAGTCAAATAAGCCTTAATGAGATATCTGGTTTTCCTACTCGTATCTGAGATTAGATCGCTTAATGTGTAAAATGAAACAGGGGAGTGTATTATTGGACGAAAGCATCTAGAAAGGAGCAGATCAAGGTCAAATTGATAGTAGGTGATGACGGAACTCTATCGGAGATAATTGTTCAAGGTGATGATCAACAGGTGGAGCAAATGAGAAAGGAGCTTCAGTTTAGTGAAAAGGGCATGGTTTATGTGAAGGGCATCTTTGAAAGCTGAAAGTTGATATCATCTCACGTCTTAGGTTGTTCTTTGTTTTGTTTTCTCATAAGAAGTTTTGATGTGTAATTGTGCATAAAAGTGCATGTCATTAATGTGCAAAGGTCGAGTGGGTCATAAATAGACACTTTATATCTATGGCAAGTACGTGATCTATATACTGACGTGGATTTTTGTTCACATTTCGTCGTGGATTTAAACTTGTC